CTTAACTGAACGTATCAAGGCACTGAGAGTTCAATTTTTAAATTTCTGTGAAATTCTTTTAGCAGACAGTCCAACATGAGAACTGGGCATCTTCTGATGGTGCATGAGTGTGTTTGCAGTCCAGAAAGTGAAAAGTATCTGTATGAAATTTCCATGAAGAAACTCTCTTCTTTCTTCTGTATCCAGTAACTAATCTTTACATTTTAAAGCCCTACAATATCTTTTTACTGCTTTCACTGCTCTCTACTTAGTAACAGAGTTAAGGTGTGTGCGATATCACAAGATCTGTTTACAAGTAGAATCTTTAGCTTTTAAACTGTGATTAACTTCTCTAAATCCATTTATGTAGTTTAACAGGTTTTTAAACCATTTCATTTCACTGGAAATATTTCAAAGATGACAAGCATCACTTCACAGATCTGGGGATATGATTGGGTTTCCAATCTCTATGACCCTGCATGATCTGGATTGTCCATCATAAAAATAATGCAAATTATGTTTGTTTGCTTGGGTTTTTTAATAGTTAATGGTTTAAAAAGTATTAGTTGAAAAGACAGGAATATGTTTTTCTTTAACAGTACCTGGCTCCAAGCGTAGCTTCTCCATTTTCTGTTTGGGAAAATAAACACAGAATGACGATTTTATAAAATGTATTTTGTAACACAGAATAATAGGAAACCCCCGCCCAATCCCAAGATTAAAAACTACAGAAATTCACCTACTACATTTAGCACCTTTTTTTACCATCCACTGGAACCGAGTATTTTATATATGTAATTTTTCTGGCACATTAAAGCCAAGTATCAGCCACAGTTGCATTCTCATATCTAACTTGGAACGTTGAAGAGACCAATAAAGTATCTTTGTGTACCACGTCAACTGCAGAGTGAAAAAAACCCCCAGCTACTACTTGATATAATTAGCAGGAGAAAGAAGCAATCAGCAGTACAAGACCATTTTTATTTGCCACAAAAGTGGAGGAAGTCTTGATAGCCAGCTGAAAAGTAGGGAAAAAACACAGGGCGTTCTCATTTGACAGACTGTATTCTGAGCAAGATCATATATGTCTTGGATTCTGTTACAATTTCATATTATGGTCATGTTTTCTTTTTTGTAGTGTGAGCACAGAGCGAATATTGATAATAACAATCTGAAATACAGCTACATTTTCAATTTACCTTCATTTCAATTAAACCAGAAGAGGAGGCATCTAAATTGTTTTCAATTTCATCATAATCTTCCTAAAAGAGTAAAAAAGGAATTACAGCATTTTTTTACAAAAAGTAACGTCAGCTTATGGAGAAATACTACTGTATTCAATTTTCCCTAGCAATAATACGAGAAATATTTTCCAGTATTTGACAGATCTCAATTGCTACTTCAGATTGTGACCCAAGAATGAGGAACAACATAGAAATATTCTTGACGATTAAATATCTTTCTCCAGTTACCTTTCATCTTAATTTCAACATGACATTGTCTATTCCAAAGTTACTCTTATTTAGAGAGGAAATTTATTTCACATGTCTGTGGTTACTGTACATAGTATGTTCTTCCATTTTCCCACTTTTGTACTACTTTAGTTTCTAACTGAAAAAAGAAGTGGGAAATGAAGCTGACTTAGGTTTCTACTCTTCCGAAAATAAAACGCGTCCCCAAGATCTTCCTTCCTTAAGAGCTGATGGAAGACTCAACCAAAGCTCATCGGTTACATGATTCACAACAGCTCTAATTTACAGAACACCAGAAAATTGCCTTTCAGGTTAACTGGATGTTATTGCAATGACTCTGTTTTCAGAGGGTAAATGATAAAAAGTCGAGACAGACACCTCAGGCCTAAAATAAAAAAAAGCAAACCATAAGGACGCAAGGAAGGATAATACCTTCAGTTTTGGGGGTGAACAGCCTAAAATAGAAAAAACCACACAGATCCAAGGAAGGATAGTATCTGGGGAGCGAATGTAACATATAGATTACCCTGTTCATTCAGTAGCAGGAGACTGTGCCATCTGTAAAAGACATTGCAAGTTGCTCTCAAAACTGAAGTCAAAAGCCCAGCAATGTCAGAACAGGGCAATACGCAATACAAAGATTTTCTTGTTTTATTAATCTCTATGAGAAAACTGTACAACATAAATTCTTTAAACCAGAGCATTTCTGCAGAAAAGATTTCAAAATTATCTGTGAGTAGATGAAAACTTATTTCTCTCTCGCTCTCTAAATAACTAGATGACTGGGTATATGTGTATATACGCTTAAATACATATAAATGGGAAGCGGGAACACCAAAACCAATACATTACTTTCAATTCCAGGCTTCTTTCACAGCAAGCAAAGATGTCACTGCAAGGTAAAGAAGGCTGTGACCCATCTACTGTGAACATTTCAAGCCTCTGATAGGTCCAAGAACATTTACCACTTAAAGAGTAAGGCATGAGAGCTGTTAACATGAAATAGAATCCGTATCACATTCATGTCTATATTCTATTACACTGAATTAACTCATTCATGTGCCCATATATTTATTAAACACCTTCTGAAAACTTACAAAGACCTCTACTCACTTACCTCATTTTCTGTTAGCTGATCCGGAAGTTCTTTCATTTCTGCTTCGACATTGTCTTTATTATCAGACAGAGAATCGAGAATATTATCAGGACTATAGTCTTCTCCACAGTCTACAGCACTGCCGTTATCTATTTCAGCTTCATCTAACACACTAATATCCATCATGTCAATATCCTGCAAGGTATCCAGACTTGCTTCGATATCCTCCTACAGAAAGAAAAAGGGTAGCTGTTCATTTATTGTGGGTTAAATGATGCATATTCTTAGTAACAGCAATCATGATTTCACTTACCTGCCCATCTCTAGAGTTTTCTTCTAGCCCATTGTCTTCAACACCTTCTTCTTCTGGTTTTCTTCCTAAAAATAGTGTCACTGAAGTGAGATATAGCACTGAATTTCATAACACGTCTACTCTTCGCTGGTTCATCTATTCAACACTGAGTTTGTTAATAATCATTAAGACCCTGATTCGGAAGTCCAGGTCTGTCTGGACGAAGGATGACTTGCCACTCGATACAGGCGAACAGCGTGAGCATGAACTAAAACTAGCACAGCTACATTTTTCAACAGCTGCACTCCTCTCATTACACAACACTTCAATTCGTAAGACAACAACGCTGTCTAGGAACGTGTTCCATTTAAAAGAAACACCCTACCATTGTTACAAAAACCCTCCCTCTTACCGTTTAAATAATTAAATGGATTTAGAATTAGTCTTCACTTCTAAGATCTTGGACACACAGATCACATTTAGGCACATCTGTCACCAGCAAACTTGTATCACTATTCAAAAACAACTGCTCTTTCTCTATTTTTACCCCATTATCTTAAAGGAAGCAGCTTAAAAGTAAGTTTCAGAAAGTATCTTTTAAGAACTGACTATGAGCAATTCAAATAAACCACACGTAACATTGCCCACACAATACTTAATGTTTCTGAAGTAAAATAAATTACTAATGAGCTATTTCAGAATGGTTTATTTTCAAAACAACAGACAGTTATAAAATGAAATATGACACTAACAAAAGTTATACACATTTGTTATTTGTGCAACAATGGTTCTAATTATTCCCACTGTAATTTCTCACATCTAAAAATGTATCCCAATGATGATGGAGGTTCTAGTGCTTCTATGAAAAAAGGAACATGTATACAGTTACGGCAAGGAAATTAGTACCTGCGGTTTTGTGCAGCCACCTTAACATACATTGGCAGAGCTTTCCACAGGAGTTTATGCTGCAGCTGCTTGCTCTGTACCTGACACAATTCTACACTCACAGTCACAAGTACAGAAACACCTGCAACTTACGGTCTCATCTACAGGTTTCAAGACTTGCTAACGAGAGTTTTACCATTTTCTGTAAGGGAAAAAGAAAAAAGCACTTCCCCCCGGCCCCCCCAAATAAACTGATGAAAACAGAAGACATCAACATCGCATGGTAAGTTCTAGCTACATGGAAACAAAGGAACTGTATTTGTCTAGACTCCGTACCTTTGCTAGTTCTTTTTGGCATTCTCTTGTTGGTCAGTTCTGAGGCCACAGGAATTTCATCAGGATCTCCTCCTTCATCCTCAATGGCCTATTGGAGACAGCAGCATGACATCTATTGTATTGTTTGTTGGCGTGCATTTGTACTGGTTTTGGATGGGATAGAGTTAAATTTCTTATATGGGGCTATGTTTTGGATTTATGCTGAGAACAGAGTTGATAACACAGGGATGTTTTAGTTATTGCTGAGCAGTGCTTGCACAGCATCACGGCCTTTTCTGCTTCTCACACTGCCCTGCCAGTGAGCAGGCTGGGGGTGTAAAAGTTGGGAGGGGACACAGCCAGAACAGCTGACCCCAACCGACCAACAAGATATTCCACACCATATGATGTGGTGCTCAGCAACAAAACTGGTGGGGGTGGAAGTTGGTGGGGCTGCCATTATTTGGGAACTGGCTGGGCATCAGTTGGTTGACAGTGAGCAACTGTTATCTTTTACATCACTTGCTTTTCTTGGGTGTTTTTTTTCTTTTTCCTCCTCTCTGTTGTTTTTTCTGCTCTTCCATTTTTAAAAATTATTAAACTCTCAATCCACGAGTTTTCTCTCACTTTTACCCTTCCAATTCTCCCCCCCATACTGCTAGGGAAAGGGGGGCATAGGGTTAAACCATGACAGCATTTTTAATGATTTGGCACATGGAAACATTAATCTCTCACCCTAGTTCAGGTGATACAGCCAAGCAGCCATATCAGCCGAACACTGAATAGTAAGGTGTTGTAACGCAACCCCACAGCCAAATCAAGCTATGATTGAGGAGCAAAGTTCCCCTCATCTGTAAACAAGACTCCCCACTCAGCAGATAAGCGCTTTAACTGTATAAAACTGAGAGTGACCGCTACAGGCACTCAAGCACATGCGAGAGCATTTTTTTCTCAAAGTGCAGGCCTATTAGAACCCATAAAAGGGTCAGGACCGACTACGCTGTTTTGGCCTCATGGAAGTCTGTGAAAATACATTCCAGAGAGGTGGGAGAGATGGAGTCAGGTGAAGTGTGTACAGAGGAAGCAAGGGAAGAGATACGGGAAAAGGGAGCGTGTGTGTATGCTGAGGAAACGGGAGAGGAAATCGGGGAAGGACGCGCGTACGTCAGTGACAGGCAACGAAGGAAAGCCCGGGGCCGTAGGGAGTGAAACCTGAGCAGCACTCCAAAGCAACGGCTGAGGGGCGGGCGGCGGCGCAGCTG